CCGCCTCGGCATCGTGTCTGTGCCGCGTATCCTGTCGGGGGACAGGCGGGAAGCGAGGCCTGAAGAAATGCTATGGAGAGACTTAAGAGTTGAATCAGTAGAAACAAACTTGACTCCAAGCCTTTCCCATAAAGTGCTGGGTTCAAAAGCTATTCAGTTTAGCAAGGGGAATGGTACAAGTGGGAATGTTTGCCAGAGCTTGCTGAGTGGTATCTTGTTGGACTTGTTGCCCATGAGGCCTGTGTGCCTCGAGCTCCCCAGGCAGAGGAGGACAGGCAGGCTAGCAGCAGTTGTTTAAAGCAGGTAGCTCTGGGTGGCTAATGCTGGAGCTGCGAGAGGTATGTTAAGGGCCTGCGTGATTCAGGTTTTACCTTTGCTCGTTACGTAGCGAGCTGCTGCTATCAGTACGGTAAACCATAGGAAATCCCCTAGGCTGTAGTTTCACCCATACACCTGCTGCTGGAGGATTTTGTGCATGATCCACACTGAACTGCGTAGGATAGGGCTGTGACGGTGGGAAGCGCTTTCCTGTTCTTAGGCTGGAGGAACTTGCGCCAGAGGGATTAGGTGGCTTGAAATGCAGCCTAGAAACTTGGTGATCTGTTGTTGGCTTAGAAATGCTTAACTGCTTTGAGCTAAGTGTTCTGTTTGCATTAAAAATTACATACAGAGCTAACTTGAGAGTTGCGTGTGGTTTGGGTTTAATTAGTATAGGCTAGCAGCTGGGGCGAAAATCCAGTATTTAAAAAAAGTTGCCTGTTGGTTTCTTTGAGAAATAGGAAGTAGATTGCTTAGCTGTTTTACTATTAACTTTGCATTTACAAATGGCACGATTTCCCCATCTGCTTCAGTCAGAAACCTGTGGGATGTTACTGCTGTGTTGAACAAACCTCCTGTCAATCAAAAACTTGTTATACAGGATTATTTGCCTTCAGTTTCCTGTGTAATGAGGTTTTTTGATGGACAGAAGTGGAGTTAAAGATTATAGAAAGGCTTTCTGAATCTTAGATGAGGAAGTTTCAATGCAGTGGTGCTTGCCCACGATAACATTGGCTTCCAATTTTATCTATAAGAGAAGCTGCAGGTAATAGATGTAAAATTAAAAAAAAAAAATCTGTTCCTCCCCTCAAAAATGGCATGACTTAATAAAGTAAAGCTAGGGCCTGACTTTTTAACTTACCACGGGAGAAGGATTTGAAAAATATTTGCTGTACAAATACTCAGGGTCTGTTGGGGCCCAATCCTTCACAAAGGTGAAGGGTCTTTGTGGACTGTCGCTTTTCCCTCATCTCTCCTGTCAGGATGAGTTTTTTGAACTGTCCTTACTTGCCTTGCTGTGTGTGGCTGTTAGGAAACAGGAACAAACCTTCGAGATTAGAAGTCTCCCCTTGCCGTAAAGTCTGATATTAGTTTCCAGTTACCATATTAAACAGTGATACATAGATGAAGTCACTGTGAATTTGAGTGAAACAGAAGGAAAAATTAACAGCATTAGAGCTTCTATTGACTGTACTGAAAATGAAGAACAGGCGTTTAAAAGTTCTAAAACCAAGTTGATGTTACTGTGTGCCAAAGTGAGCCTAATGAAAACATGACTGTTGAATTGCCCTTTCCCTGAGTTAAGGGATAAGGCAGCTGCAGGTAAGATGATCTGGATGAGCTGATACACCTGATAACTTGCAGCTTGGTTTTATTGAGCTAGAAGGCTGAGTTAGGCTATGATTTAGCAGTACCGCTCCCCCTCGCTGAGGGGTATCTTCTCTGGGCTTCTGGCAGTGACTGTTAAATAAGAAGCCTGGTGATCGTGTGCAGGCTTCTGGCTTGGAGGAAGCACCTAAAAGCAGTGTGTGGCTTGGGAGGGAGCTGATAAGGCCAGTCCATGACTGCTTCAGAATCGAGTGGTAGCAATGATGAAGGTGACTGTCCTCAAATACTCTCATCATGAGCTTGATTTGGCTCCTGAATCCCACACTGATGCTATGTTTGGTTTTCAAGCAGTTTCTCTGACAAGACTTATCTTAGACTGCTCCATGGTCACTTGAAGACCGAAGCCCTTGAGGCAGGGCGTAGGAGTCAGGGTGAGCTCAGGAGCTGGTGTGCTCTATACAAGTGCTAATGGCAAGTGATTTCAGCCCTGATGGTCTGTCTGGTAGATGGTGGCAGGGCTTGGGGCATCCCAGCTGTCTGCTCAGGCAGTGCTGGCTATTGGTACTGACTGAATGCTGCTTGTCTGCTTTCCTCTCTTCATACTGAAGAGTCTATAATTCTGAAAAGCAAAGAAAGAATCAAGTGTTCTACAAGTTCTGCCTGCATTTTTCCTTTGTAGTTTGGTTGGTGTATAGCTGACCTCAACAGCTAATGAGATAGCAAAGAGCTCCCGTACACTCATCTGCATCACTTGCACATTCCTCCCTACTCGGGGTTTCGAAGCATCTCCTACCAGGCTCTCCAAGTCAATTATTGCTGTTTCAGTAGAGTTTTGGGGAACCCTGCAGGTGAAAAGGGCTCACATAGGCAGGTGTTAAGTGGAGTGATGCAGTTGGGAGAGAGTTTTGGCCATTCTTGGCATTGGCACATCCTGAAAAAATTTGCAAGGCTGGAATTATGCCTGGTAAGAACTATGGTTACACTATGCTGTATTCTCTTCACTAAAGAGACCATTTTATTTATAGAACTGTTCATTATAGAAGGGAAAGCTTAAGATTCCTGTCTCAGTTTTGAGGTTGGTAGTGTTTTGTAGTGGTGGACTTGTTTTATGTGCCATGACTTAAAGCAGAGAAAAAGGTGCAGTTATCATTTGTGTTTTGATTATAATGGGACTATACCTGGGGTTTTATTTTGGAATAATGGTTCCAATGCCCTGGTATTGAGAAAACACTGTACTTAAAGTATGTGGCTGAGTCCTCTCTAGTTCTCTTCAGTGACAATTGTCTTAAGGTGTTTTGGGCCAAGGTGTTTTTTAGATGCAAATGGGGCTCGAGTTTTGGGCCAGCAGAAAGTCACTCAGGTCTCTTTAGCTGAGCTATTTTCTATTGTTTCAGTAGGGAAAAGAAGAAAAAAGAAATCTCTTAAGCTGAATTTTCTGTTCCTGGTTTCCATCTTAACTGCTTTATCTGGAAAGACCCGAGCACCTGGGTGGCTGTAGAAGGAAATGGCAGCGGCACTGATGTGTGTCCCCGTGCGAGGCAGTCCCTGCTCGTTGCTGCGGTGCTGGGTGATTGTGTTGGGCCTCCCGACACCGACCTGCCGTGATGTCTTCGGGAGTATTAAATCCTTTAGGTAACTGTAGATGGCAACTTAACATTGCTGCTGCTGTTCAATATTGTGCTTATTGGGTTAATCTGTGAAATTGAAGACCTCACTTTGTTAGTGGTTGTTTTTGACATCATAAGTCTGAAAGTGAAGCGGCTTTTTGTGCCTGCACAGCGGAGCTCGCTGGGGTGAGGTCTGGTGAATGAGAAGGGTCCCTGATTCCGTTCTGGTTGCATAGGGCATCTGTAGCTGCGGCCCTTTTCAAGCACAGTTACTATAATAGAAAAGTCATATTGACTGTGAATACAGGACTGGAAGTGCAGCATGCTGTAGGTTTGAGTAATGAGATTTTTCTATAAAAATGTATATACTGTGTACATTGCATGAATGTTGTAAACTGTGACACTGCTCTGAGGTGTAAAACTACAGAATGACATTAGCTTTCCTTAAAAGTCTTTTAAGACTCAGATCCAAAGCCACCAGGTAAAGATGAGGTGCTTACGACCCTTCTTAGAGAGGGCTTTATCTAAACCAGCAAAAGGAGATGGCACAGATAACTTCTCTTTAATGCGGATAGTTGTTATACACCAACACATTTTTCTCCGTTCCAGCAAATAGATTTTCTCCCTTTAATATCAGCCTGGTATCATTCCTTGTTCTATGCTGTGTTTTCAGCTATGTTTTAGCATGTGTACATTTAGAGGAACAAGAGAAGACCTTTTCAATACTCTTCCAGGAATTCCAGATGTGGACTTAAAGTTCCAGCTTAGAAGCAAGTGGAGCATTTTGGTCACATGTCTGAATGCTCTGAAACCCCCTTGAGCAAAATGACAATAGGTGGAAGATGGAGACCAACTCGTGCACCTGAAGGCTAGCCATGTATTTTACTTGGATTAATCGAAATTTAATTAAAAATAGGATGTTCAACTTAAAAGTTTTCTAAGTTATATGACGTTAGCATTTTCTGAACTGTCAAATGTGTTGCTTTCTTTGGAAACTGAATGAGTGTTTCTGGAGGTTTCCTAACCAGGTTGTGCAAGGTAGGCGTATGGAAATCACTTCAGAGATTCCTTTCCTTGGAGTAGACGTGTGGTGGGTGAAAGGAGTTGGTTCCTCTACACAGTCACTGCTTTGCATCTGGCTGCAGCAGGGAGTCATTTCGGTAATGATCTGATTTGACTATGAGTTGATGAGAGTTTTTCAAGGCTTCTCCAAAGCTTGCAAACTGCAGATGAGATTTTTTGCAGTACATAATTCTGTGGATGTGTCTTGGTATTAAATTTCCAAGAGCAGAAACTGTTTGCTTTTGCATGGAAATAATGCTGCAGTAATTGAATTATTTGCTGCGAGGAAGGAACTTGACCTTTTACTTTAGTCTATCTGGCTACATAATGAACATTTTTTAGTCTTTATAAAAATTACACCTAAAAATGCATTCTCTTTTAAGAGGAAAATAAAAATTAATCTGGCTGTACGGGAGCTTGCGTGTCTTATATCTGTCCTTACAGCTTTGTGTCTCATTTGTGCCATTGGTTTCCACAGTAGTAAGGGCAAGGTGTTGAAAAAATGTCTTTTGTTATGAAACTACTAAATAGCTACTAAACAGTTAAATGTACCTATGTTGTCCATAACTAACTGGAATTATTTTGTTTAAAAACTAATTAGCTTCTCTGGTTGAATGACAGTTACCCCATACGAATGGGATGTTTGCAAGCCATTTTAGCCATTTTTGGAGAAAATACGGGGACATGGAACAGCAGGCAAATGAGGCTCATCAGGGCAATCAAGTAGTTACTGCAACACAGGTGCTGCTGGTGGAGCAGCATCCTGCTCATTTCCCAGGTGTGTGGGAAGTTACAGACCATGTTGCAGCTTGAGTGAGGAGGAGCCTTGATGCTTTAAAATTGGAGTTACGGGACTTGCAGGGTTGTCTTGGTGTTGAAATTGCCAGCATGTTAGTAGCAGTGTGAGATGCTTGTATCTGCCCTTGCTTTGCATTTTCAGCTTTGTGCATCCTGAACTGGTTGGACTCACTGAGCAGCTTTTTTAGGAGTCTGGGTGCTGTGAGGCCAGGAAACAGGTGAAAATATAGGGTAAGAAACCACCTAGATGTGTTGAGGTGGTACTCGGTTTTCCGGGAAGCTGTGCTTTCTGCAGAAGCGTGCTGCTGGGATACAGGCTAGATTGAGAAAAGGAAAAATCAAATAAATCGTTAGGTAAACTTATTGATATTGAAGGGACCTTTTCTGGCAATTTTGTGCTGCAAAATTCTGAAGTTTTTTGCTACAGAGCTTAACTGTCACTTTAGAGGCACTAGTGACTGAAGTGCTGCTGCAGGTAACAAAAACAATGGTTTTAAAGTAAAATGCAACAGCAAGTAAGAGCAGAGGCTTTCCTTCAGGCTTGCTTAGCTCTGAGATGGACTCTTAAATCACTCTGTGTCCTGCATCTCCAGCTCATGTTTTGGGCATTATGTTGACCATTTTAAATACTGATTTTTACTTGTTCTGTTGGATTTTTTTTGTAAAAGGCTCTTTACTCTGTTAAGGAATGTAAGGTGTCATGTGGGTCTGCCAGCCTGCTCAATGCTCCCAGATAGTATGTTGAAAATTTAGTAAAACTTTCCATCCAGCTGCCAGCCCTACTAAGTTATCTTTGGATGTGAAAGGCTCTCTGAAGATCTGTTTATTCCCTTACTGTGGGTTGGGAATTTGCTCCCTTTAACCCCCTTATTCGGCCCCTGCAGCATATGCCCTTTGTAGGTAGCAGATTTTCCATGGCTGCTTTTGCCTGGGGAGCTCCTGGCGTGTGTGGTGGAAGTGCCAGCGAGCCCTGGGTGCTTTGCTGTCTGCTCGGTGCTGTTGGCCAGAGAGCTCTTGTGGTACCTGCAGCTTGGGAACCCCAGGAGCCTTCCTGGCACCTCCTGAGAGTTTGCCACAGCGAACCCAGTCCGGGTCTCCAACAGGAGAGCGCAAGGAAGGAGCGCGGTTCCAGTAAGTAGAATCCATGAGGTGTGCTCAAACTGTGCGTACTGAAAGCTTTTTACTCATAGAAGCATTGAAAATATTGGTCAGCTGTGACCTGTAGTAGAAAAATAAGAACAATATTGTGGAAATACTTCCCATTTTGGACCGAGTGGGTTACGCATTTTTGTGGTACTGAGGAGCAAATGTAATTTGCCATTAATGCAACAGAATATATTGCAATGCAAATGACTGGAGTTGCATGACAAGTGGTCCCACAGTCCTCAGCACTTGCTATTGATTGTGAAGTCCTAATTATTCATGCTATGCAAATTGCAGTTCTCATCTTGCTCCTTCTTGTCTACATATTTTTGATACAGATTTGCCTGCAAACAATCTTGTTCTTTGAGCTGCGAGCCCAGGATTGTTTCTGGCAAAGTTCTTGCTGTTCTTTTGTTGAGCGAGCACCAGCTGAGCCAGCCAAGGCTTGGGAAGTCTGTCAGGAAGGATTCATCTCGCTCGGGTTTTTAGATGAAGGAGCAGTTTGTGGTGCGCAAAAAAAAAAAGACAAAACTTTTTTTATTGCACCACAAACTGCTCCTTCATCTAAAAACCCGAGCGAGATGAAGTTTTGTCTTTTATATCAAGTCTCTTTTGATGCTTGTTCTCTAGTCAGTTATTTGGGAGTCACGTGTGTGTCTGCGTTTATTCATCTTAAACATCATTTTGTGTTTCAGGTATACGAAACCACTCACCTTTGCAGACTGCATTAGTGATGAATTGCCATTGGGATGGGAAGAAGCTTACGACCCTCAGGTTGGAGTGTATTACATAGACCACAACACCAGTAAGTGACATGTTATTGTATTTTGTAGGGTGATTATTTTGTGCCTGTGTTAAAATGAACTGAATGCAAAACCACCAAATAGCAAAGCAACTGTGCTTAAGAATGGCTGACATGGCCTGTGGTTTGTGGAATCGGTCTCTGCAGATCCTGCTCCAATGCAGCAGTTTGTTCCCTCTATAAAACAGAAACTGCAGCCCTTTTGTTGGCTCCTTCAAATCATCAGTGGTGTTGAAGCTGATGCCGAGGACACCCCTCGGAAGGGTTTGGCTCTGCTGAAGAGTCTGACTAGGCAGCGGTGACTTGGAGTTTGTCCTCAGCCTGGAATTTGTCCTTGTGGCAAGATCATCGGCAGGAGTGCAAAGGTTTTGTGTTTATCTCTTGGCAGGGACAAACTCGGTGACTGCACGTATTGTTAGTGGAGTACCCTGAGCTTTGAGAGTTCACTCTGCTTTCTGCTAGAGAGGAAACTTTCAGGCAGGCTTGGGGTAATGCGAATAGTGTCAGAGGAGTAGAAGACTCAGGTTTGGACTTGGGGCATTTTCATTCTCTGTCCTCAAACTGAGATACTGTTAATCACCTCTCTTACACTGGTAGCACAGAGGTGCTAGGTATTACAAGCCCTTTTGGTTTGTATATGAGAAAATTCAAACTCAGTATTTTACTACCAAAATTGTTAGGAAATTTGTATAGTCTTGTGTTGGAATATATCCCCTGAAAAGCTGTAATCAAAATAAATACACTGTTTCTTGCAGGTAACTTATTTTTCATGTTAAAGGTATTTGGCCAGCTGTATAACTTTGTTGTGCAGAGGCAGATGGGCTTGAGCTCGACAGCAAATCTGATGTGTAGATGCTCTGGAGAACAATGATTTAACACTGGTGATAGACTATAATTGGTAGGTTACTTGGTGATATAAAAGATTTTTTTTCTGTGTAGTGAAAAGACAAATATTTGTAGGACAGTAGCCTCAAGTTTTTTTTAGAATGCAATCAAAATAGATTGTATCTGCTGTCATGTCAATCTCTGTCTCAAGATTTACTTTTTTGAGCTCAAATGACCTTGAGGATCACTTAGTCTGTAGGACTGAATTAAAATATGGAAGCAAGTAGCAGATCTAAGGCACTATTCTGACTTCTGCTCTGATCGCGAGGTGGAACAGGAAAGATGGTTCCAAAAAAATTAGGTTCTTTGATCCTCTCTAGAGAACAACAACTGTTGCTGTCTCTGCTGCTCACAGCACAGCCATGCCTAAGCCCTTTCAGGATTAGGTTCCTGTAATTGATGCCTAGAAGAATTATCTTAAAGAAGACATTGCTAGGTGAGATGCAAGGATTTGGGATGCCTAGGCCGGAATGCTGGAGGCAGAGGACAACCAGCGTGGAGGTTCCAGCTTTCAGTGGTTCTCTAGGGCTTTGCTGTTTTAGGCAGCAGTGCTGGGTTAACAGGCTCCTGCCACTTGAGTTTAACCTGTGCAGAGACTTTGGGGAAGCTGGGTTGTTCCTTCTCTTCTGAGCAAAGCTGCTCTGGGGCTGGGTTCATTTTAGCCTGGGTCAGTTCCCTCCTGATTTTTCAGGCAGGGATATCAACCTGTTGCAGTAGGCACAGCAGGCACCGAGGGAACTGGGTTGGTCCCTCCAAGGAATAATGCTTGTCAGCGTGCTGAAGTGAAGGTTACCGTCACCTCTGACCACTAGCTAGCTAGGGGACCTTTCAAAGGAGATTTTTTTTCATTGTCCCATTAAGGTTTTCCATTGTGAATTCAGTTTGAGATGTATTTTTATCTTGAATTTTTGGTTTTCCTCTTCAATCTACAAAGGAGGGGAAGGTGAGTGCTTGTGTGTGTGGTCTTTTTTTTTTTTAAACCGAGGCCTCACCTAGTTGAAACTAGAGAATTAACTCAGTCCTCTAGGATTTGCCTAAAAATGGCTGGCTAGCTTTGTGCCTGGTCTCGTGCAGGGTACCCCAGCCCCAAAGCCCTTTGTGCGCCAGTGACTTGCTGGGGCCCTCGAGTCTGGGGCAAAGACAGATGCGCGTTGTGTGTTGGCACCAGCGAGCGCACGCACGGATCCAGTCGCGGGTCCAACAGCCGTGTGGTTCTTGGGGCTGTTATTCCTGGCCCTTGATGTTCAGAAGAACCACGAGCTTCCAGGATGTGTCTCAAATCTTGCTGACACCTGGTAGACAGCAGTTGCTCTTGGCTTCTTCAGGATGCCAGATGCTACTATACTGGAATGAAGATTTCAGTTAAAAAGAAAAACAAAATCATGGCCCTATTTCCCAAGCCATGTTGAGTCCAAATCATGATAGTGCAAACCACATCCACCTACCTTAGCTAATCAGGAGTATCATCTGTGTGTGGCTTGTGTGAATGATCTTCTGGAGAGTCCCCAGAACATTTTTCCTCTCTAAGGTCTGCACCAGATCTGTTGTACAGGGAGGAGCCGTCAGCAGAGGCTGTGAAGGGAATGGAGACAGGTTGGTTCTTGCTGCTGACTTGAAGTATTGGAGCCTAATTATCAGAAATGAGCCCAAGGACAGACCTAAATTAAATCTGAAGCCAGCAGCCATTAAAGAAAGCAAAGTGTGGAACACTTCTAACCTTCTCTCTGAGGGGAAATAAATATAATTAAATTGAATTGAGTATGCAGAAAATTCCTAATACAATATTAATGCATAGCCCTGAGTGTGTCCCACACTGGCAGAAGTTCTTTGGAACTAGATTTGTACAGAGGAGTGATAATTGTCTCGCCAGGTGCTGATGCAAGCAGAGCAAGAGTACGTTCTCCAAACTTGAAACAACATCAGCCATATTTATGACAAGCTCAACATCAAATTAATAACTAACAAGACAGTAAATGATACAATAACCTATATTTCTGTAGTCTTTTAATCTGGCTTTGGAATGTGTTTTGCATTTCACAGTAGTTTGGGCAAACTGGGAGCCCTTGATAGATTCTGACTGCATGTTTGAAAATCAAAGCTCAGCACTGCAATTAAGGGGATAAGGTTAGTGCTGTGATTACTAAAGAGATGAAAGAAAAATGGAAATGGTGCAATTTCAGATGACAGTTGCATAGTCCATCCTGCCCATTGCCTTGGCCTCCAAGCAATTGCCTTGTCCGGTGGTGTATTTGTGTTAGGGACACTTTTTCCTTGATCCTGGATTTGCATGAAAGTTGCTCTGCCTGAGAAGAGGGGACTATGATGATAGCAGTTTGTGTGAAGCATAGGGAAACTCCAAACACTCCTGCTTGAGGTACAGAGCAGCTACATAGGTTTTATCCTTTCTGCTCCCTTGCCTTGCCTCCCCTTCCCAGGGAATTTTGTTCCTGTTCAGGACCTGCCTTGCTTCCGAGCGTGGGAAAGGGGAAGAAGGGGTAGCCACAAGGCTCAGCCTTGAACATGCCTGTAGGGGAGCGCCTGTGCTAAAGAGCTGGAGCTGGGAAGTACCTTTTTTTTGTTCTTCATTCTTGTCCCTGTGTCCCTGGAAATGTTGAGGATTTTATGTGCCTTCTCCTCACCCTAATATCATGTGGTTAGAGCTATAGAAGTGTTGCTTATGTCCTCAATGGATTCAAGGATAGTGTATTTCCTCAGGGGTGAAGATGTGTGTCCTTCTTTATGGTGATGGTTATGCAAAGACCTGAAATACCAACAAGAATGCTATGTTTTTGTGCATAGTATATGTAATATCAGATGAGCAAGAAGCAACACTGTAAACTGAAAATGGGTGCCTTAAATGGCAGGGTGCCTGAAAGATGAAGGCTCAAATGATGGGAGAGTGGTAAATGGCTGTAATTGGGGCAGAGTGGCCAGGGCAAACATCTCCTTGGATTCCTTCTGTAGCTACAGAGATCGAGTAATCTTTAGTCTCTTCACTAGTGGATTTTGGTTTAAAAATATGGCAGCTGCTTGTTTTAACCTTGTTAATTTTGGAAAAAGATTTCTTTTTGGGGAAAAAAAAATCAGTTATTTCACCTAGATTGGTTTGATAGTATCTGAGTTACGTCTTAGCTACTCTAATGAAAGTGTTCTGGATGATAAATTTTGACTTTTAGAGCCTTCCACCTGGCAGCTTGCGAGTGTTGAAGGGGTTTCCTGGTAGTGGAGAGGGCATCTCCAGGTGGCCTGGAGCAGATCATCCCATTCTTGTTCAGCTGGGAGCTGAAGTGCTGTCCCATTTGGGACAAGTGGATGATGGTTGTCTCCAGAGAATGGAATTTAGGGCGCAAGATTAAATAGGAGCCTGGTAAAAGGGAGTGCCAGGCTAATTCAGGTGAGATGGTTGACATGTTGTTTCCTTATGACTTCCTCTGAAGTGAGACCAAGTAGTTTTTTTTTCTTTTTTCTTAAGTTATTTTAAGGCTTTTTTTCCAGGCCTTGTCTTAGTTGTAGTAGCCATAACAACCGAACTGTTCCTTCTGCTCACAAGATATACATATATATTTATTTAAAGCCCTTACTTTTGCAGCCTCTTGTTTTGCAACATAACTTGAAATGCCACTTGTTCTTCTATGTCCTTCCCTTCTGTTAACAGAGGGCTGCAATAACAGGGATTTAACTTTCTCATCAGCGTCATCATGGGCAAAGTTGTGCAAAAGAATATATCTCCATTGGATCAAGTTGTTTATTTCACGTCCTGTTCCTAGAATTATTGTCAAAATTTTTATAAATCCATTGTATTTATGAAATCCAGTGTTAGTCTAGTCCCTGACTTGCTTAAGACTTGACTGTGCCTTCCAACACGGCAGTTTTTACTGAATATTTAAAGAGGCTTCTTAAAATATGCAGCTTAGATTCCTACTGATAGTTTCAAGATATTCCTTTCAATTAATTATTCATTTTGCAGTAACTCGGCATCCATATTTTAGCACATTAGTTTAGACAGCTTTAGAGCTGCTCATCAACTGGGTATTGGAACCTGTTTCAAGCGAGCGCATGCAGTAGCTTTGAAAGAGAATGGCAACGTATTTGAAAACTTTAGCACAAAACCAGAGGTAGTGACACATAATTTGCATGATTAGTGTTAGGATTAGCTGCATGTCTGTGGCTGATTAGGAACTTCAAGCAGTTTGATTGCGTTGGGATAATGGAGATAAATGATTTAGGCATGAACAGCTAATGTTGGCTATGTCACCTCCCCAATGTTTTTTTCTTGAAGTTTTCCAAAGTATTGGACAATAGTTGAATACTTATGTGCCCCCTTTGAGGGGAAAATGTTTGCTCTCCTTTGGTGAGGTGCTGTTTATGCAATGCAATTTGAGGTGCTTTCATGGATATGTTCTGCTTTATTTGTCCTTACCTGTGGAATCTAGATGAGAAGGTTTTTTTTCTTCCCCTCTTGCAAATTAAAACCCCTTAGCAGTGGAACTCAGCCAGCAGACCGGCTGAGTTGGTAACTGCTTTCACAATGCCACACAATGTAGTAGAAGGCAGTCATGTGGCAAGGATGTTTTCTACACGATTTTGATCAGTTAAGTAGTAGAACTATTTTACTAGTTGTATTATCAAGCCGTTACAATAAAGATAAGTCCCCCACTGAGTGTCAGTCTTAAAGAGCTTATGTATGTGTGTGCTTGTGTGGGTGTTTTATGAGGCAGAGGCAGGGTGGCTTCAGCAGCAGAGTTGTTGGAGAGGACACAGTGATTTTGGTACATGATTAGTGCATTGACTCAGTGTGGCAGCTGATGAAATCCATGCGAATTGGTGGTCACTTCTGAAGCAGAAAGCACAAGTGCTTTTTTTCCTTTCCATCTCTAGGCTGTGCCTGCTACTTGAAAAAAATGCCATGAGTAGTGGAGCTTCTCCAGGCAGCAATGCAAGCCTGCTTGTGATTCATCTTGTCTCCTCTTGTGTTTCCTCTTCAAGAAACTACCCAGATCGAGGATCCTCGTGTGCAGTGGCGGCGGGAGCAGGAACACATGCTGAAAGACTATCTTGTCCTGGCTCAAGAGGCAATTGCTGCACAGAAGGAGATCTATCAAGTGAAACAGCAGAGGCTTGAATTGGCCCAGCAAGAATATCGGCAGCTGCATGATGTTTGGGAGCACAAACTGGGCTCTCAGACCAGCTGTGAGTATTTAATGAACTCTTATCAAGTAACTCTCAGTCATGATCCCACTGAGATGGTAAAATGCTTGAAAAGTGCCTCTGATAGGGCACTTGGATATGTCATGCCATGTCCAATACTCTGTTTGCTCAGCTTGTCTCGAAAGCAACTGTTTAGCACATGTGGTAAAGGGTAGCTAGTATGAAACATGGTTATGGTTGGCTCAGACACTGGAGATGCTGTACAGTTTTTCAGCATGGACTCCAACAAGTTTGAAAAACCTAAGTTCTGGGTTGTTTTCCTTGATGCCTCTGGCCCAAGTTCAAAAATAAGGTAAGAATGCAATTTAAAAACTGTCTGCTTGCAGAGACTGTGCTTTCCTGAAACCTAGGGTTCCTGGCATGGTTTGCTCGTTCTTTGTAGCGACGGTGACTGTCCACATTATTACTGCTGTCTGCCACTGTTGAGCAGGCTGCATCGCCCTGGTCTTCTGAGGGGATAGGAGTTAGGCTTGAACCATTATTTTTATTCTTTTAAGAATTTGCCTAGTGACTAACAGCTGTCTCACTGCTGAGCACTCAACTTTGATACTTGATCCTCCATCCTTTAATAAAGCTTATCTGTCAGTCTCTCTAAATATGCTTTTAATGTTATTTGTTTCTCTCCCTTTTACTGCTTCTTTTTTCCCTAAGGTGTTCAGGCTCTTGTGTTCAGCTTGCACTCATTTTACATGCTCCTCTGCTTCAGTCTGGTTATCCTGTCTGTTTTCAGATGGTGCCAGCCTAGAGGCCCTGGTTAAGTCATTTCCTGAGAGTTGCAGAAAGTTGTGCTTGCCAGCCGAAGGATGCCAGTCTCAGCTTCCATTTCTTGGGTCCTGTTAAGGAAAGTAATGTTTATCAGTGTTCCCAGGACCATTTGGGGTTCAGCATCCCAAGTAGTTGAGTGACTCCCTTGGGAAGCTAGCAGTCAATATTTCATGTCATGTAAAAGCCAAAATTGCTGGATTATCTCTCTGTACCAAGAAAATTGTTTAGTTGCATTTTGTCTGTCGTGACAGGAAGCCCCTGAATATTTTGCTTCAAAAACTGATGCAGAGGTTTACAGAAGGAGGAGTTTCCGCTTTATTGTTGCTAAGCAGCATCAAGGAAAATGCCTAGGAATTACATATTTCACACTTGTCTTCAGGAAGACTTATCTTAATTCTTACTATTGTGAACTTGCTCTTCTCGCTAGCCACATGAATGGGCCAATTCTTCTCTTACTTGTACTGAACTATATTTTGTGTTGGTAAATTCCACAGGCCAACTGAATGCCTGATGTTTGAGGGTTTTTTGTTTTGGTTTTGTTCTGTGTGTGCATGTGTGTTTTAGCATATAAGTAACTTTATGCTATTGAAGGATTTTTTTTAATTGATCACTGTCCAGCCTCTCATCCCTGAAGGAATTTTTGGTGCCTCCTCAAGAAGCATTCTCCCTTAGTATATTAAAGCAGTGCATGAAAAAACATTGTGAACATGAATTCAAGCGGCATATTGCTGTCCATCTTAAAATACAGTTGGGGAAAGCCAGAAAAGCTTTTTGGTGTTTTATAGGGCATAAACTGATGGCTGCAAGGATCAAAATAACTATTGCCTACAGCTACCTCTAACAACACTGCGCATTGGGGACCTTCTTTGCTTTCTGAAGCATAAGAGTTTTAGCCACTGCTGAGAAAAGAATGCTGCTCTTAATGGGACCCTGATCTAACCAAATGTGACATATTGTGTGGCTGGTCGTGTTCTCAAGGCTATGACAAGGCTTGTGTTGCGTTTTTCAGTTTCTTACTCTGCTTTTGTTTCTAAACATTCACTGGCTTGTTTACTTGAGGGGAAAGTCTTAAAATACAGTCAACCTTCATGCAGAGTGTGCTTTTTTCAGTTCTGTAAATGCCTTGGGAGGCCACACCTATCTGAATAGGTTGAATGTATTTGGGAGGTTGTGGAGTCAAGTGTTTTAACCTGGGATGAATCAAGACTTTTTTCTTAGCATGTGCTTTTTGCAGAGTACTTGACTACTATTGCCTTTCCCTGCCTTTAAGGAGGAGTGAGGAGATTCTGGAAAATGGGAGAAAAGGTCTCAGTAGCATGGGGAAATGGGTGCGCAGGAATGGTGGGAGGCCTTGTTTCGTGGTGGGACATGAAGAGGAGGAAGGTAACGCTGCTAAACTTGGTGTTTTATATGTTTCAGTGCTCTCTGGCTCATCATCCAGTTCTAAATATGACCCGGAGATTCTCAAAGCAGAGATTGCCACCACAAAATCCAGGGTAAGAAGTGTAAGATGGATCTCTGCTTATCACAATTAATCTTCAGATACTTCCAAACCTTGTGACAACTATTAAAAGGAGATACCAAAGCGGTTGGAAGAGCTAATGTGGCCCTTAATCTAGGAGAAAAAATATCAGAATTCTCAGAAGTTGCTGCAGGACAGTGTGGATTTTTGTTTCCATATAGGCATAGGACTTCCTTGGGAGCTGGTAGTACCTATTTCCCAGCAGAACTGCTGTGAGGTGGTGAACTGCGTGCTGGCTCCTGGTGCCCAGCAGCGGTGGGGAGCTCCGCGCTTGCTCCGGAGCCTGGCAGCTGTTTTATCTTGCCCTCGGCCTGTGTTGTTAGCAGTGGCAGCTTGCTCTCATGCAGAGCTCAGTTTGGGAAGAAGGGACTCAAAGTAGGTCGATCAACCAATCTGGCCACTGCTGAGGAACAAAAAACAGCAAGCTTGTAGGGTCAGTGGATTTGCAATACGTGTGTGATCATCCTGCTGTGTTACTCATGCAGTGGGGCCTCCTAATTCCATATTTTGGAGGACAGCCTCTATCTTTGCACTGTAGCTCCAGTCCTGATGCCTGATATTTTAAGTGTTTAAGTGAAATCAAGTGTTACTGAATAAAGTCATCACAGTTTGTTCCTGTCTGTGTCTCTGAATTCTTCTCAGCTTTTCTGCTTGTGAGATGGGGACTTCCCTCGAGTGTCTCATTAGATGTTGCAATATCGGGTTACTGGATAAACCCCTAAAAAGTAATAATTTCCCAAACTGATGCAGATGCGGTCAGAGTTGCGTGCTGCTGCTGCTGGGATTAACTGGTTTCCTAGGCAGCTTCAGAGTACTGTCCCTAGGTACATCTGGAAATGAATGGGTGGTGCTGTACCTAAATCCTTATATCAAGTGTCATTCAAAAAAATGTAAAACCTTATTACAGGTGAATAAACTCAAGAGAGAGGTAGCTCACATGAAACAGGAACTTCAGTACAAAGAGCATGGATTTCAAACACTGAAAAAGTAAGTTTGGTCTGGAGAACTTATTTTCTGTGTAAAATCTCTCTGGCTTTTCTTGCATACACATTCATGTATAACTACCTAAATAGCATAAGCAGAAATATGCTGCTGCTGATACTTAAGCGCACACAACTCTAAAAGCAGAATACAGGCGAGGAGATAATTTTGACAAGTTTGTCTGAATATGATTGGTCATGCTGTAACTAACTTCATGGCAAATCAGTTTTAGGCCAAGATCATGTCAGTTAAGTGGTATTCTGTATTACTTGCTATTGCTTAATGCCTGATGACACAATACAGTCTCTTGCCTTGAACGGTGATTCTGAGTCACCGTTTTAGGGCATAGAGGAAAAAATTGGACTGAAGAAGCAGGGAGAGGAAGAGTTTCAGGTGCTTAACTGTGTATGAATAAGCAGCTGGCATGTTTTAAGTAATGTCACTGGTTAATCTCTATGAATTTTTATAAGCATCGACTTCAGTAGAATTCCTCTTGGAAGAAGCAAAGATGATGTCACTAGTAATTGGATTATGCAAGAAATATATCTCTGTATGAGATCTGTGTCTGGTTTCAAAGACCTGACTTAAGCCAATTTTCATAGATGGCTAACTTGATCTTCCATGAGTTAGAAACAAGGTAACTGTCAGCGATGTCTCCCAACGCTCTTTGGGGATTGTGTGTGCATCCCTTTCCTCGCCTCAGAGAACGTGTAAGGAGTCAGCGATGGTACCGCTAACTTGGGAGTTATGAAGCTGCCTGTGCTTCTGAGGGGAGTCACTTAATAGGAGCAGAGAGCCCTTCACTGCCTGTCTCTCTTATAGCTTATAAATGTTTTTTGCAAAACGAAAAGCAAAAAGGTGTGTGTGTTTAGGATGTTTAAATTGATGGGTTTATATCAAATTTTAACTTTCTGTATTTTTTTTTAAACTCCTATATAGAATTGACATGAAAATGTCTGATACTCAAGGTGGCTACAAACTTGATGAGGCGCAAGCCATCTTAAGTGAAATGAAAGCTATCAAGAAGGCCATCACTTCAGGGGAGAAGGAAAAACAAGACCTCATCCAGGTACCAAAGCAACAGAAGGTTATGATATTTCAAGGGTTCCCAATACTGACACAGTCAATTTGTGAGAAGAAAATACTGAAGTAGTTGAGACATTTGGTATTTCAAAAGCATAACCTAAATTTCCTATTATTGTAATAGTTGGATGTTGTGTTTGGATTGCAATCCTGCTATTCCTCAAATGATGAAACTGCAAAATATCATGAGATGCAAGCAGTAGCAGTGGGAATTTGCTCAAGTTCTTAAAGATGGAGAATGAATCGGTGTGTCTGTCTACCGCTGTCAAAGAGCGGATCTGAAGAAGCCATGGAAAGGTGGTGGCCTGTGTGGTCTGCCATTCCCAGGATGCTACGGGCAGCCTGTCTGTATCAGGGCAGGATGGGCAGTGGGTTAGTGCTCTTGTGCCCTCAGACTCGATGGCTCCTTCGTGCAGTGGGAAGTGTAACCCGGTCATGCTCAACCTCACGCTTGTAGGATGCATCTGCAATGCATGCAGTGAACATAAGCACGTTTGTTATGTGGTTTGAACTCATGTGATATGGCACTGAAGTGTTTTAAGCAAGAATCAACTCATCTGACTAACTTTATTATTTTAGAGCTTAGCCAGGTTAAAAGACAGCTTTGTGAATGACAGAGGATCTCAGTCGGACCTGTGGGCCAGCAGCGTCTCCTTAGAGAGCTCCAGCCCTTTGTTACCCAGGCAGTACCTGGATGTCAGCTCCCAGACAGATGTTTCGGGAAATGTGAGTAATGTGTGAGAAACCAGCTGTGTACAGAAGCATTCCTCTCAACAAGAGATAGTACTGCCCTACTGCCAGTCTTTAAGCAGGAGCAAAAATCCATGGAATTTTAGGTTCTACTGGTTTAAGTGTTAGCATGACTTTAACTTTTATGTGCCCTGATAATGTGTCTGTAAAGGCAACCAGCTATTCCTTCACACTGATTCCATCAGAAGAACCCAGGTGGGAATAAAACAAAAGTAGTTTTGCCTCTAGATGTTTTTTCTTGAGGCACTAATATTCTAAGCTCTTCATAATAGTTTTATGTCACTAGATAAGAAACACTGTGCAGCTACATATGGTCTAAGCTCTCACTAGGACTCTTTTCTTAAGAGAGTGCATTTTATTTTTAGTTTGTGAGTATTGTGAGAAAATGGTGGCATATGGGCAGATATTTTGATGCTATCGAGCGTACGTGGTACTTTGTACAAATTCATTCCTACTTCTGCAATGAAATCATAATTGACAGGTTTGTGCAAGCCTAAGCAAGAACCTGACCTGCATTGTAGGTGTATGGGACATCACAGCCTCTTGGGAATCTTTACTTAAAAGCCTGTTGTTATTTTCAGTGCAAGGCACTTTCATCCTTAAAAGATCTGCAGATCTGAGCTTAATGAAATGTGCTTTGTCTTGGAAAATTCACAACCAAGAAGAATGTGTTGTCTAAAGCAGAATGTGTTACAGCGCTGAAAGATGGCAACGCTCCTGTGTGCCTGAAAGCAGAAGACTGAAATGCAGGCGATAGATTGTTTTATAGGATAAATTAGGCCAAAAAGCTTCTGAACCTTGTGTTCTTGTCCAAGTACGCAAACAATAATGAAGAATTTAGTCAAAAGAAATATTTACCTGTTCTGTGCTTCATTTACCTGGTTAAACTCATTTGCAAGATCAAGTATAATTTGGAACGTGACCAATTTTGATAAGGAATTTCTAAATGCGATTAGCTAATGGATTGCTGATTTTATATTTTGTCTCAGTTTATTTCAAGCAGCAATAACCAATTGGCTGAGAAAGTGAGATTACGCCTCAGATACGAAGAAGCAAAGAGAAGGTAATGATTTTGTTTGTACCTTTTGGCTGCCATGCAGCTTGTTTTATGAACAGATTCACTGGAAATGGTGCTGCTCAGCTTTGTATTGAAACCTGGTGTTGCTGCTGAATAACACACTAATCCTTGAGGCAGGGAAGCAACAGGCTTTCTGGGCTAATGTTATCTTTTAAGAAATAAATAACCATCTTAGATGTTACTAAGGAGTGACTAATACATCAAGAACTTAGTCTGGCCACACCTGTGGGGACATAAGTGGTTTTGCTGCCTGTTGCCAATGTCTCCCCATTCCGTATAAGGCATTTCTACTGGAAGGCATCTCCCTACTTGATTCTAAATGTCCCGAATGTTTGCGTGGCGTTTAGTCAGATAACAAGTTGGGTATATTATCTCCAGAGCAGCTGGTATTAAACCAGCCTGAAAAGGGCAGAGAACAAACACTATGATAAGTCTTTAGCTCATGGTTTAGATGCAGAGAATAGATATTGTGTCCAAAGAGATGTCAGTGTTCTATCTCAGCTAGAAGATAGCAGTAGCTGTGGTCCCTGAGGCACCAGCGTACTTGGGGGATGTAACTAAACTGTTTGTTGTGCAGCTTCAGATGTGCACTAGTAATTCAGTTGTGTTGCCCTTGGAGTACTTTGTGCAGTAGCTGCTTCAGTGGTGTGTTTCTTACTGGGCAGAAGTGCAGCAATGATGAATATTCGACAAGTCAGTTTTTAGAAAGTACCAAAAAAAGGGATGGATGTGATGGCATTGCTGTTTACTGATTGCGGCTTCATGTCTTAGTGCTCAACTCTGGAGAGGCCTGTGCCCTGAACTTTCTCCAAAGAGACTAAGAATATTCCCTGTTACAGCTATATTGCATGTAAAGAGGGCTTTTTTAAAAAACCTGATTTCCTGATAATGTGACATCAGTGATAACATCTAAACTTTTCTAGCTAAGTAGTCATTTAAGTGAAACCTGAGCTTCCTATTCTGCATGTTCAGCTTTGCAGACTAGTAGCCATTTGGGAAGACTCTGCATAACTTGGGAGTCCAGTTTCACTGATGCAAACTCAATGGGGCCCATGAAAGATGTTCAAATTTGCAGTCGGGGAATGCTGAAGGGCTGGAATTTTCAGCAAAGAGTCAGACTATCTGCAAAGCACTTCCTTGATGGTGATATCGTTTTATTGGACTAGGAAAAATGGAATATGTAAACTTCCTTTTTAATTGAAAAGGGGAAAAGAAAGATCATTTTTATAAAGCAGGGCAAAACACTGAGTTAATTTTACAAAGCTCTAAGATTTCAAAGTGCATAGAGAACAAATTCCACTGGAAAAGCTGTATCCATGCAAATGTATGCCAAAAGTGATCAGATTAATGCCAACCAATCCTCTTAAGTTCATATCCCTTCAAAATGCACAGAGGAATTCCTGGATTATTAATTAACGCCACAATGCCACTGTTAGTTCTTCACTGGAGTGCAGTGTTGCACTTAATCAGCATTCAAACAAAATAGCTCCTAAGAAGACCTAAAAATAGTGGAATGTCTAATGATTATGGAATCTAAATCAATTAGAGTAAGCCATGTGTTGTGGGAGATGGCTTTAGAGGAAGAAGTGAACCTTCAGAAAGATCCTCTCTGTCAT